ATATTTAGCTCAATCATGCCCACCGCCTGGACCTTGAAGATTTTGTCAGTATATCACAGGAAAACTGTTTTGTTTTAACAGAGCCAGAGTTTGATGGAGGAGCTGATTTGTTGGGAACTTCTGACAGACAGCTGGCGGCGAGGAGTTGATCTTCTCTACTCCAACATGGAGACCCTCCTACCTCTTCCTCGCACAAAACTGACTACCTCCAAACTCTCTAAACCCGAGCGCCAGCGACCCGTCGACCYGTCTCAGCAGCCGGCTGATTGTTCAGACGACGGCAGTCCAGTCAAAGTGTCCAACAGAATGAAGATGAATAAAAAACGACGCGGCCTCGCTGAACGGGACGGACTGCTCTCTGACTCAGACTCAGAAGATGGATTTCTCTCTCTCTGCAAACCGCAGAGCCATCCTGAAAAAGAGGAAGTTAAAGCGAGCGTTGTTTCTGAAACAATAAAAAGGAGGCAGCTGACAGTAGAGGAGAGAAGAAAGAGTCTACCCGTCTCTCATTGTCTTGAATCGTTAGCAGACTTTTGGGACAACATGTCCTACGTGGACTCATGGCTGCGTTCTCGCACAGACGTTCACAGAGGAGCGCCACCGGTCAGCGCCGTCATCAAAGACGGGATGTCGGACGAGCTGAGGGTAGAGACTGGCAGAGGGAGCTGGTGGACGGGAGGCCGTGTTTTGGAGGTCCAGGCAGCTGTGGAGGCTCTGAGCTTCCAGAAGTGCCGCGCCTCGGTGACGGAAGCCTGGGATAAAGTGCAACAACTGAAGGGGGAGCTGGGAAAGGAGGCCGCGGCAGAGCTGACGCTTCCTGTAGCTGCACACCGGGAAGGCTACAGCTTCACTCAGGAGGCTCTCTGCCGTCCAGAGTGAGTCTTTAAACCAGCGTAAACTCCAGAAATAATGATGCTTTTACAACTCAAAACTAAAACAATTTCTATTTCAGGCTCATCCAGCGGAGAAAAGAAGCGGCGGAGAGTCTGACGTTTCAAGTGTTCGGCACTCTTGGCAACAGACGGGCGTTGGCTCTGGACTACTTTCCCACCATGCGGACCATCTGCAGGTCGGAGCAGCTTAAGGAGCAAGGAAAAGTAAAGCGAAGGTAAGCGTGCAGCAACCACAGCTGGTCAACAGCAGCGGGGGTGAACTATAGRCAGGATGTGGTGGAGATGGAGTCTAGTTTTGTTTTGACACCAAGCGCTGGCGTCACCCAGAAATAAATGTGTCAAAGTATACAGAAGATTTTATTTTTTACGTCCTTCCTCGTACAGGTTCCTGCACTATCTAGATGCAATCCACTTGGGTCTGGAGAAGAACACCCTGCAGCTGCTTGCTGAAGACTTTCCCTGATCCACTAATGTTTTCATATAACACACGCAGACGTCATCAATACCTCAGACGTTTTCTTACTTTGGCTTTTAGTAGGAACACAAAGCATGCTGAGAGCTGAGTTGTAGGAAATTTGTTTCCTACATTTTTGACTGAACATCAGCCTAAAGTTTATTGAACTTATTTTACCAGGAAAAACATCTGTAAATACAGAAAATCTCTGAAATAAAAGCACACGGCTAAGTAACTTTGCATATCTTGAGATGTTTTGGTGCTTTGAAGGGTTTGTATGAATTTAAAACCTATGTCTGGTGGGATTATTGTTGTTTTTTGCAGTRCTGTTTTTTGTAGCTTCATCTGTCAGTGCTTTGCACTTTTTTAAACAGTCTTTTGTAATTGTAAGAATGTAACATGTAAAATAGATTTTTCTTCTGTATCTGTGTGTAAATTTTCACTTAGGGTCTTGATTCTTGAAGTTGGTAGGAGCAGTTGTCTGAATTACAAATTTATTTGTGATATTTTTTTCCTCAATATGTATACTTTATGTACAGTTGGTTGTTCTTTTAAACAAATAAAGTAGTAACCCAACTAGGTCACTGAATGGTTTCATTTTCATTAATTAAAGGTCTGGTATTCTGGGAAGGAATGCATATGACACCACCTTTCATACCAAAGCTTTAAACTAAAATCATCTTGTGATGGGAAATACAGGATTATTGTTGTTTTGGTCAGAACATGAAAATGAACATTAACGTTTGAATATTCACTGAAATGTAGACTTTTTCAATTAGTTGTGATGACCAACTTTAAATAAAACCAATTTTTTACAACAAAAAAATTGCACTGTGTAGCTCTTGGACATGTGAAGCACAGCTACTATCACTAAATCTTTGCTTAAATTTTGTTAAATTAAGTTAGTTTCTGTGTTTGCTAAAGTTTAGTAGCTGTGACAGTCATGTAGATGTGCATCCAGTGTTCAATTTCTGAAAGTTTTATTAAAGTCCATTCAGTGGTCAGTGATATATTTTGCTAACAGCCAGATAAAGTTGACAAGGAAAAGTTAATGACAAAGTTTTAAAAACATATCTTGTGCAATCTGTCAGTACTTTAGAGTATGTGTTGAGAGTGACTCTCAGCTACTACCACAACAAATTTTAGCTTTATATCTGTAAAACAGACTGAGTTATAGCCATTTTGGGTTTGATACAATATATTAAATGCTGTGGCCATCTTTAATTGAGTTGAATCTGAAAAATAAAGGGCTGCAGAAATACGTCCAATTAATAATTTCTGAGAGTTTCAGTAAAATCCGTCCAGTGGTTCGTGAGATATTTTGCTAACAAACAAGAAAGTCAGGAAACGAATCGACGCTCCACCACCTGATTTGCAGTGATTGACGGGAATAGAAACGTCTCGTGACAACGAGGCTCCGCCCCTTTGTAGCTACAGAACAAGTGATGTGATTGTTTTCTGTCAGAGCGGAGCATCGCTGCCGGGGAGAGGAGTTTGTCTGCTCCGGGCTCAAACACATGGATATTTCTTCTGCCTGACTTTGTTTTTAAAACTGCGGGAGCAACATGTTCGGTTCAGACCCGTGGACCCAGGAGAAGCGGACTCTGTAGAGAAATGTCCAACAGCGAGAAAAACAAAAAGATTTTACTGGAGCTGGTGAAGCTGCCGGAGAACAGCCGCTGCGCAGACTGCGGAGCGCCGGGTAAGACCTCTCTCCTCTGTTTTTAYCATTTTACTTCCGGTTATTACTGCCAGTCAATAAAACAAAGTGCTGTTTTTTTTTTTTTCCTGAACGACAGAGCAGCTTTAAAAAGTTGAACAGACTCGCTTAAATACGTGGAAATGTTCAATTAAAACACACAGGTTACCAAAATGTGGGTCGGGGACCACATGTGGGCCGCAAACATCAAATTTAGGGTCTTGATATGATGTGCACAAGTAAAAATAGGAGTTTAAATAATTAATAACAACATAATTGTGGTCAAAACTGTTAAGACAAAACATCAGTCATAAATGGGTTTAAAATGGTGTCATTGTTTGTAATGTTAAGTTTACTGCAAACAGAGAAGAGCTGCAACAAGTTGGGAACTTTCCATGGAACAAAACAGGAATTTAAAATATTGAAGATTGYACCTTAACAAGGATGTTAGATACAATAATTGTGTAATTATATTTTGCTATAATCTAAAACAATCAGATTTCATTGCTGTATGCAATCGTAACATGCCTTATAAAATAATAAGCTGTCACCTGCTCATGTAAGGTCATCATGTTCTGTGTTGTAAGTAAGTTATAAACTTTTTCCTATAACAGGAAAAAAATCAAATATTGATCAAATAACGTTTTGTTTTGAGTTGTGTGAATAAAATTAGTCTTTCTGCACATTAATGTAAATATTTCAATGTTTTTTTCATCCTATTAATTGATTTTATTTTATTTTTATGTGGGTATGATAACCATTTGTTGAGGGTAGTGTTTTTGAGTTAAAAAAGTTTGACAGCAGGAACAAAAAGGAGAACAAAAATGCTCAAAGTCCATTGTTCTCCAGTTTAGTGTAAAACAGTAATTTTATGCAAATGAGGTCATTGAGTTTGCTACCTTCATAACATTTGAGTCAAACTCATTATTTGCCTCTGACTTTCTCTGCATGTGGCAAAACAAAATAATTACATTTGTGTTTAGATATGAAATAGTTTGTTTAAAATCTCCCCCATTTCCAGTTTGTTTCCAATATGRTTTGAGCATTGCTTTCCAAAGTCTGGTTTGTGGACCCCGCTGTCAGTCATTAAACGTCTTTAGATTTCTTCTTTAGATTGTTCTTTTTATGTACAGTGCCCTGAGACAACGTACGTTGTGACTTGGCGCTATATACAGTAAATAAACTGAACTTAAAGAACTYAAATACCAAGTTGGGGTCTTTGGATGATCTCCAGGAATCAAAATAGGATTTGAGTTCCACTGTAAATAGAATTATTTTTTATAATAGTTATAAAAGATAAAAACAGTAGTCATTAATTGTTAAAATATACTGTTTAACAAGTTTCCTTGTTAAACAGTTGTTCTTAAAGTGCCTGTGGCATCCATTACAAATACAAAAACTGGAAGAAGACTTCTTAACATTTAGTAAATGTTGGTACAACACGTGATTTTACACATTTTGTCACAGAAATGTCATGTTTTTGTTTAGAACTCAGCATGATTAAAGGGGAACTCCCTGGTCTTTTTTTTTATATGAGCAGAAAACATGAAACCAACAAACCAGTGTCCAAGTTGTTATAAAATCATTGTTGGTTAAACAATGAATTGCTGATTGTTGCAGCAGTGGTGGGTGGAGGAAAAGCCAATTGGCCCTGGTGCTGGATCGCCTCAGAGGAGGCCAAGATTAACATGTCTGCCCCCATGATGAGCTGTGGCAGATTCTGTCCCCGAGTTTCCATAATCCACTTTCTCAACACATGCAGGCGTTGATTTTTACTGTCACTAATCAGGAGGAATATGACTTTTTATAAAGACATTTCTGACCCTTTTTCTCAACAACTTTTAATCTGAGCAGCGGATCTTTCCATGTGTCACTGTTATGACAGACATTAAATTAGTCACAATTAGTTTAATTTGTAAAAAGTTGATGTAAACAATACTTTTAAGGAATCCTAAGTGCCACCAGTGATGCCTATATCACAGTTTAAGAACCATCCAATGTGGTGATGTCTGGTTAATGAACCCCACTGTGGATACCTGCTCAGCTACTGTCACACCAAATTTAAAAATTTGAAGTACAGCACTTTTTGTTATTGCTAATTAATGCTTCATTATGATGTCATCTTGATTCAGTTTAACTCTTAAAATGAATCAGCTGTAGATGGCAAACCTTTTGAAAGTTTCATCAAAATATGTTCTGTGAGTGACATTTTGCTAATGGTTCACACAAAGTACAAGCAAAAATATCATT